TATATATATATATATATATATATATATATATATATATATATATATATATATATATGTGTGTCTTTATTCGTACGTATGTATATATATATATATATATATATATGCATATATATATATATATATATATATGCATATATATATATATATATATATATATATATATATATATATATACACGCGTCCGTGTGTGTGTGTAAGTGTGTGTGGGCAATTTATTGCACATACTTTGCGTACGTCGTTTTATTACGGCAGATGTTTTTCTATTTAGTTCTCTGGTGTATTTTCTCTCCAGGCAGGAGCGCCATCTTGCGTTTCTCATGCGAAATACATCAATGAGGAAGTAAGTTCAAAAAATATTATAACACGACGCAGTTCTCTCCACTTCTCTCTCTCATGCACATGCACTCACACACACATACACATACATACGTTCATATTACGGTCTGAATGGTTGGGACGTTAGCATTTCGACTATGTAGTAACCCAGATTAACGTCCTCGGAAAATATACCCAGGTATAGTTTAGCCTCGTCCAGAATAACACGCGGTGTATTATTGGAGCTTACCTCCTTCATACCTCTGCGTATAAAATAGGCCCATGATGGGTTTAGTACTTAAGAGGTCTTTTATTGACTACTAGTCTTTAAATTAATGAAACTAAATGTATGTAAATAATTTTGATATATTTAGATTATAAAAATTTACTAATTACTTAGTGTTTATATAGCTTTTAATTAGTCAGACATTGAAAATACAGTTTTTTCTAACTGTAGAAAAAAATGACACTATTTCAATATTGAGAAAATCTTTGTTCATTACAGCTATAACTTTTCTACATTGATATATATATATATATATATATATATATATATATATATATATATATATATATATATATATGTTTGTAAGTGGATATATCCATACACTCTCATTAATGGCTTATTGATATTTAATCAGCAATATATAGAACCTGGTTCAAATTAATTGATACAAAGCGTATAATTCCGTTATTATTTAATTTTTTCATATTTTTCCAATGAAACATGCCCCATTGCACATATTAGTACTTCGTATGTCCATTCTACGAAGTCGTTCCTTGCAGATTGACCAGAGATTCTCGATTGGATTTAAATCAGGAGAGTTTCCTGGCCAATCGAGAGTACTTTTATTTGATCACTGGTAAGGCCTGCCATTGTGTTCGTGCAGCATTACAATTTTCATAGGCTTCCATGGAGTAACGTCCACCGCAGACTATGGCCGTAGGACAACTAATTAACAGCCGAGACAATAGTGTTTGGGCGTGATGAAAATCTGAGGCAATCACGGATGACGCAATATTTTTCAAGGCCAAACAAATTTCATCATACACCGCGAAAATAGATTCATATTACTGCAAATGGCCTAATCTGAGGAAAAAATAGAAATCGATTACACCCTGCCACTCCAGTGGGTCTAAAACTGACCGTATGGCGAAAGAAAGAAAACTAAAGTTGTCTCACTTTGCACAAGGGTGTATGTATTTAGATATTAGCCAGAAGTAATTTTATACACTGTAATAATTTCTTGGGCGGCAGAAAAATCCTGGGTTCAAAATGGGCCATGAACTAATAAAGGTCGTGAACCCCTGGTCTATACTGTACTCAGCCCTTCTTGGCCTTTCTTTTACTATTAGTATGAGTATTTCTTTATTCTTTCTTCATTTTCTTAACTCGAATGTTATGTGGTTGTTCCAGACTGTCAAGAATAGCTAATCCGAATTAATTCAACATAATGAGGGACCCATGTTTCTAAAAGGGAATTAATCTTGTTCAATTGATGCAATTGTTGTATATAAAGATTGTTCTAGAGCAAGTGATATGTCCCCGGAACACACGGTTCTGCAAGAGGTCGATAGGGGTACCGTGAGAAAGAGTGACAAATACGCTAATACATATTTGAGTAAATTTTATTTAGTTTTATATTCGTAATAACTAGCTCCAACGGTGGCTATTGTTGTTATTTTGGTTAATCCTCGTTGCCAAAATGTTATAACCTAGGAAAGGTTACTGAATGAATAATCACACGATGGTTGGTAATGAACGATAATACTTAAGCCACGAACAACACATAAAAGATTCGCCAGCCGCGCGTAGAAGCAGTCAGCTGCTAGAAGTGAATCAAGTGAATTCCACAATGAATTTCCAACTGCAGGAACCAACCTCCCACGCGGTCAGATGTGGCACAAGGCCGAGTTTAATGTGAGCTATCCGTGCCCGTAAGCTCAGCCAAAAATTCCCCGTAAATGGGGTCGGGTAGCTGTTTCCTGAGACGAGACTCTGCCCTTCGACATAGCCTCGTCTGGGGATCCTCTCCGTCTGGAGGCAGAAGGTTTGACCAGCACAGCTGGTGAATCTCCAACTGCAGACCAACATACAGTATTTATTACTGTATTTATGCGAATGGGGACATACCCATTATCGTCCGTAGGTATGCTACAACTATAACATTTTAAACGGACTAATTAATGGTATCTTTTTTTCGAATAAAATCAGTCTCAACCTTTAGTTGTACTTCGACGGGGCATCGGAAGTGACTATATTACTGAAATTTATTCCGGAAACGAGTTCCAAGAATGTTTCGATCAATATCACCATCGTCATACCGAGTAAATAAAAGTATACTTCGGTTACAGTTGCGAATATTTGCCAGGTAAGCAAAATTTTACAGGGGACACAAAGCGTGACTCTGAAATCCGAACTACTATTAGGATAGCGAAAATGCCTTCCAAAAGCTAAGCATATTATTAAGAAACGGGAAAATCTCGTTAGAAACGAGAAAAGAGTATTGAACTGTTATGTAATAACAACCCTTCTGTATCGCAGTAAATACTGGACAACCTCTTCACAGATGAAGAGGATATTTGAGTATATTGAGGATTCCTTGGACCGAACATCTGAGCAACGACGAAGTTTTAGAGAAAATGAAAAAAATGAATCTTATACTTAACATCAAGAAGAGACATCTGAAATTTCTAGGGAACATAATGAGGAAAGAAGGCTTGGAAAATTTGATACTCACAGGACATATTAAAGGCAAGCGGGACAGAGAAAGGCAACGCATAACCTATTTAGCGAGCTTCAGTAAATGGAAAGCGGAACACGGTTTAGGAGAAATAACAAAAAGATGAAATTTATTAATAGCTACGAAGGACAGGAAGTTGTGGAGAACCATGACCGTCAACGATCTGAAAGGACACGGCATATAGAAGAAGAATGAGCTTGAGTAAATGAATGGCGGAACTAGGTTTAGGAGAAGTGATAAAAAGAGAAAGTTTATGAAGATCTACAAAGAACAGGAAGAAGAAGAGAGTCATAATCGCCTACGTCCTAAAGGGACACGGCATATAGAATAACGAAGCAAAATTTGCTTTCAAAGAACTATTCCGACACTTAAATTGTCATAGCTCTTATCGATTATAAGGCTCGGCGGAAACAAATACTGTTTTATGACCAAGTGATTTGAGTGCATCAATGTGGCTACCTCCATGGGTCTGCACAGCATCACCAGTCGTCCCTACTGTTTGGCGGGCCACTTTTAAGAAGCGCCGTTTCTGGGTCTCTGTAGTTGGCACCTAATGCCAATTGCACGCCGAGCGTTTTTGCTTCTTTTGTGGTGCTGTAAACTTGCTCTCGGTGTTAAAATTTAGCGCCTGCTACGTAACATCACGTTAAATAGTATGGAAGACTGGTCTATTTAGCGTTTTGTGTGCAACAAATTTCTCATTAGTAAAAAAAAGAAAAAAAAAGTGACGTCGATGGGTCCAGATTCCTACTCCGACCATAACTCGAAAGATGGTTGCCAAATTGCAGTTCATACGCCATTGAAGGGGCAGAGAGAGAGAGAGAAAAAGAAAAGAAATAGAGAGACAAAGAAAGGAAAAGAGAGAGAGAGAGACAAAAATGGGGAAAAGAGACAGACAGACAAAAAGAAAAAAGAGACCGAGACAAAAACGGAAAGAGCGAGAAACAAAAAGGAGAAAAGAAAGAGAGAGAGAGAGAGAGAGAGAGAGAAGAAGGGGAAAAGACAGAGACAGAGAAACAAAAGGAAAAGAGAGAGAGAGAAAAAAAGGGGAAAACATAGAGAGAGACAAAAGAAGAAAAAGAAGGGAGAGAGAGAGAGAGAGGCAAAAAGGATGGAGTGAGAAACAAACGGGAGAAAAGAAAGACAGAGACAAAAAGGGGAAAAGAGAGAAAAAAAAAGGAGAAAAGAAAGAGATAGACAAAAAGAAGGAAAGAGATAGACAGAGAGACAAAAGGGAAAAAGAGAGAGACAAATAGGGGAAAAGAAAGAGAGAGACAAAAAGGAAAAGAGAGTGAGAGAGAGAGACAAAAAAGGAAAAGAGGGAAACAAAAAGGGGAAAAGAAAGAGATAGACAAAAAGAGGGAAAGAGAGAGACAAAAGGGAAAAAGAGAGAGACAAAGAGGGAAAAAGAAAGAGACAAAGAGGGAAAAAAGGGAAAGAGAGAGACAGAGAGACAAAAGGGAAAAAGAGAGAGACAAAAAGGGGAAAAGAAAGAGAGAGACAAAATGGAAAAGAGAGGAGAGAGAGACACAAAAAGAAAAAAGAGAAAAACAAAAGGGAAAAAAAAAGATATAGACAAAAAGAGGGAAAGTGAGAGACAGAGAGACAAAAGGGAAAAAGAGAGAGACAAAAAGGGGAAAAGAAAGAGAGAGACAAAATGGAAAAAAGAGTGAGAGAGAGAGACAAAAAGGGAAAAGAGAGAAACAAAAAGGGGAAAAGAAAGAGATAGACAAAAAGGGGGAAAGTGAGAGACAGAGAGACAAAAGGGAAAAAGAGAGAGACAAAAAGGAAAAGAGAGTGAGAGAGAGAGAGACAAAAAGGGGAAAAGAAAGAGATAGACAAAAAGGGGGAAAGAGAGAGACAGAGGGACAAAAGGGAAAGAGAGAGAGAGAGACAAAAAGGGGAAAAGAAAGAGAGAGACAAAAAGGAAAAGAGAATGAGAGAGAGTCAAAAAGGGGAAAAGAGATAGAGTCAAAAAAAGGGAAAGAGAGAGACAGAGAGACAAAAGGGGAAAAGAGAGAGAGACAAAAAGGGGAAAAGAAAGAAACAAAAAGAGGAAAAGAAAGAGATAGACAAAAAGAGGGAAAGAGAGAGAGAGAGACAAAAGGGAAAAAGAGAGAGAGACAAAAAGGGGAAAAGAAAGAGATAGACAAAAAGGGAAAAGAGAGAGAGAAAGAGACAAAAAGGGGAAAAGGAAAGAAACAGAGAGACAAAGCGGAAAGAGAGAGAGAGAGAAAAAAGCAAAAGAGAGGTGAAAGAGTGAGTGAGACAAAAGGGGAAAAGCGAGAGGGAAAAAAGGGGGGAAAAGTGAGAGGGTCGAAAATAGGAAAGAGAGAGAGAGGCAAAAAGGAGAAAGACAGAAAAAGACAAAAGGGGTAAAAGAGAGAAAGAGACAACTGTAAAAGAGACAACATAAAGTTTAAAGAGAGAGTTAGATAAAAAAGGGGAAAAGAGAGAGAGAGAGAGACAAAATGGGGAAGGATAGAGTCAAAAAGGGAAAAGAAAGAGAGGCAAAAGGCAAACAGTGAGAGAGCGATAAAAAAAAAAGGGAAAAGGAGGAGAGAGAGAGACATAAGGGTAAAAAAGAAAGAGAGAGAGACAAAACTCTAAGCTACTTGAAGTTTGTCAGCAAGGTAACTAAGGAGTCCCACCTACTGCGGTTTTGAGTGATATTCTTCTAGACAGGCTGCCAAACAAGGCTAACGAGTTCTGTCTTACCAATGCTTATATGTGTGAAAGCAGGTGGATGTATTTTGAACGAAATAAGTGAGCCCTTGGTTAATTTAGGCGGACATACAATTCTGCCTATATGTGTATGTGACTATCTAGGTGTAGCTGAGTGGCAAGTTGCTTAACTATATATCATTGCGTAAGTGCGTGTTTAATTTGTACAAGTGTTAGCATGCATAATGAGGCTGGTACAGGTGGTGGTAGTGGTGGGCAAATGGGTTTTTATTTATGTTTATTTTCTTCAAGGGCTCCTTTCCTAATCGAAATTACAGAAAAAATCTGGATATTCGTATATATATATATATATATATATATATATATATATATATATATATATATATATATATATATATATATATTTTAGTTTCGTGTGTTTTTTATCAGCCATTTTCATTGGGTTCCTGAAGATGTTACTTTCGTCCTTTCTTTTCGTTTTCTTTTTATTAGGGTTGATTCTTTCTTTCTTTCTTTCTTTCTTTCTTTCTTTCTTTAATATTTTTGCCACATATGGTCTGGTGCTCCTTCTATATATTCGGAGATTATTGACAAATCCCATAGAAGAAAGCGAAATGATATCATTCCTGACCTGACCTGGCAACTCGGCATCAAGCACTTTCCCACAGACGTAATTTAACTTCCTGTACTCTTTTCTATAAATATTTTCATGTTAATTGTTCGAATGGGCCTTCCTCTATAGTACCTCGACTTTTTGAATTTAGGCACAATACTAGATTAACAACAAGCTCGCAACATTTTTATGGTTGAATCTAGCCAATTCAACCGTAAGTTCTATGCTAACAGTTTCTTCTCTCGCCTCCTCTCTGCAAAAGTCTCTTCCGGCTTCTTGCTTTCCAGTCAACTTTGACCATGAAAAATTTAAATGCAATGTCAATCGTTATCTCCTGTCTTATTGATTCCTATTCTTTTATTTTCGAGTTCCGTTTCTCTGTTTATTTTGCCATACACAGTAACCCAATGTGTCTTAGTGGCATTATTGCCTTGCTTGGGGTGAGATGATTAAAAATTGTTCTCTTTTCTGTTCTTTTCAACAAGGCCTCTTTCTTTTTGCTTTTTTCTTTTCCTTTCTTTAAATGTCTCTGAAAAACGTAAAATATTTCCCATACATCCTAATATAATAATAATAATAATAATAATAATAATAATAATAATAATAATAATACGGTGACGTTGGGATTTAGATGTTTGACGTGAAAGAAGCTCTTCCAAACGTAACGTTTTTTTTTACATATGAAATTTTGTTATTTTTACTATTTTCTGCAAAAACGAAATTTTCCTTCGTATTATTATTATTTAATTTATTTGTTTCTCCTTTAAATGATACTGATAGATTAATAATTATTTAATTTTTTTATTCATATACAATCCCCCAAAAAACAAAAAACATGACATAATCATTGATATATATATTAAATATGTTTGGATAAATGACGGTAAAAAACGAAAATAATTCTGATACACCCTAATAATAATAATATTAATAATGTTGGACCATAAAAAGTCTTTCGGTGAAAAAAGCTCTGGATTAAAAGAATTAAAAAAAATGCAATTTTTCATACACACCAATATATAATAATAATAATAATAATAATAATAATAATAATAATAATAATAAAGATAATAATAGCCGTTTCCTTATAAAGAAACATTCAGCATTCATTGACCAAGTAGATTTTACTACTGTCGGTTAAAATGTATAAATTCATTCTCTTAAAACAACTTTTCCAGAAAATAACTTTCTCAAATCCAGTAGCTGTTATCGCTCTTTCCAGCACTGATGGAAGTTTCCTTTCTAACCTTTTGTTTGAAGTACTGTGGAATGACAACGTCTTGTTTATCTCATTATTTTCTCTTTCGATTTAAATTTATAAAATCTTTCTCTTAAAACACTTTTTTTAGGAAAACAGGTTTCTCAAGTCCAGTAGATGTTATCGGTCTTTCCAGCACTGATGGAAGTTTCCTTTCTAACCTTTTGTTTGAAGTAGTGTGGAATATCAACATCTTGATTATGTCATTATTTTCTCTTTAGGTTGTCAGACGCCTTCGAATATCACTCGCACTAATAGTATTCGCTCGATAATACTCGCTCGAAATGTAACCAGCGAATAATAATCCGTATAGAGAAATAAGTATAAAGAATAGAGTAGAGAATATGCTTCCTGTATAGTAATAGAGGATATATATATATATATATATATATATATATATATATATATATATCTCTATTACTATACGATATAATAATGAAATATATTTTTTATATATCAAGAACAATTTGGTGGGGAAGATATATGAAAAAGTGGAAAAGATTTCAAGCGTGGCGCGTTTCCTACCTGAGGACATCATCTCACTATGTTTGTTCATTTTGATGTCTATATATATATATATATATATATATATATATATATATATATATATAGAGAGAGAGAGAGAGAGAGAGAGAGAGAGAGAGAGAGACAGACAGACAGACAGACAGACAGACAGAGATAGAGGTCAACGTGTGCTTCTTATTTTATGTAAAACAAGGACAAACGAAAGGGTACCAATTATATTATTAGTAGGAGGTGTTGGGGAGTAAGATTGTAAACATAGATGAAGAGGGTTATAGGTTGCGGAGTGGGAAGACCATTCGCGTGTGGCCAAATTCTAACGACTGCCCGTCTTTCTGAAATTGACAACTTGATCGTACTACTGATAATAATAGGCCGGCCTAACGCTTTTACACTGATGAAAATTTAAAATTTAAGTTAATTTTCATAAAAAATTTCACACAGCGAGAAATCAGACAGAGATCGGCTTTTTGTTAATAATATGATCCCCACCAGAAGTTACACCGTCTACAAAAACATCTGTTGGTGAGTAATTCCCATTTCTCTGTTTATTTCTCGCGCCGTTGATGAAGGACACAGGCGTGTCCAAAAATTCCAGACATAAAACATTTCTTTACGTTCTTCATTTCTGTCATATGGTTAATAATTAATAAATTTTTATCGTACTGATTATATTGGTACCCTTTCTTTTGTCCTTGTTTTATTAATTAACCTATCTATCTATTCTATCTATCTATCTATATATATATATATATATATATATATATATATATATATATATAGGGATAGATAGATAGATAGATAGATAGATAGATAGATAGATAGATAGATATACTGAAAATTAATGTTTAAAAGCCATTTCAACTATTGCAAATCTCTAATAATTCCTAGCTTTTCTGTTTAAGCGAATCTTTCCTGGCTGTTTATAGACAACCTTAGATGCAGATTGGGTACGGTGGGAGGATTGTGTCCCCCAGCCATCAAAAGGAAGATGAACTGTTGCTTTGAAAATCAGCAATTGAAATTGTGTATTTTAACTCGACTCGAACGCGAACCAATAGTTGCTACAGGGCGTAAAAGAAAAAAAAACCTGGCAAAGAACGCTTCTTCTTCTATCAGGCATGGTTTCATGTGTAATGGCTGATAAAACCGTCAGGTCATTATCAGTGTTAATGGTCCTTTAATTAGAACCACACTGATTACAGCCTGTAAGAAAATCACTCCGCGGGTTGTAAATAGAACGAGGGCGTGAACACGCCATCTGTCCAACAGATGGTCTTCTTTCTTTTTCTTTTTTTTTTTTTTAACGTTTACTCTCCTTTTGATTACTCGACCAGGAATAGGGCCAGAAAGCGGCTCTAAGATCACGCCATCTTGTTTTGAGATCGACTTCCGGTGTTGTTCAGATGAGAAGAAGATGACGATCGCTTCTTGCTGAGCTGACTGGTTTGTTTGTCCAAAGAATGAATAATTAATGTATGAAACAGTCTGCCACATGGTAGAAATGTTGCTCTCACATATTTCCTTCCGATGACAGAAGTCTAGATAAATAAAAAAAACAAAAAAAAAAAAACAGGCTTATGAATGTAGACATTCTAGATAATCTTGCGCACACCCCTTTGACTGTTGACGGAACACAATCTTTCTGTTCTTTATATTTAGTTTCTAGCCATAAGGAAATCAGCTTTGTGTATATCAGGGATATAACTTGACAAATATACGAGGCTAACAAATAAGACTTTTATAACAAGGTTTACGATCATATCACATTGAAACACTGGTTATCGTAAGATCACCAGGCCAGTGACCACTTACAGGTGCTATAAAGCTTGGATGTGCGGTCGGTGTTAGGGATCACAGCCCGGAATTGAAATTCAGACAGCCGAGTTCGAATTCCAGTTGAGTTCATTATATACACTTACAGGTAAATACCCTTAAGGAGGGTATGAATGCGCTTCTTCTTCTTCTCTTCAGGGCTATTAAGGAGAGATAAAAGAGAAGGGGTCACAGGAGTGTCCTTGAAAGAATCCTCCATAGATGTTAATGTGATTCTATGGCAGTGCCTCCTAATGCGATGTAGATATAATGTGGTTTTCGTATCCCCATGCTCTGTTTAAGGAAATTTGCTATGACTGAGCAAACTTTTGTATATACCAAATGTCTTAATGAACCAAGAGTATGGTACACTATGAAAGGTTTTACATCTAATCTATTGAATTCGAATGGCAAAATTATACTAATGTTTGTTTAACAAGTCGAATGCACGTGAAACATGATTAACCAATGAAAATCAAACAATAGTAAAAAATATTAGTTTTTTCTCCATATTTCATTCTTTAATGAAGCTTTAAAAAGTGAAACATGTTAGATTTATAAACGTTATCTATTTGTTCTTTATCTTTTCTTTTTTTTTTTTAAATTCTAGTTTTTTGTCAGTCTGGTTTCAGTTCAGTTACTTTTTTATAGACATAAGACCCTCCAAAAAAATTGCCTTC